GTCATACACCTGGTTATTTTGGTCAGATGCAGAATGATGATTGCTCATCTTCAAAAATTGAAGGCGTTCTACAAAAGTAATCCACGAACTGCACTGACGGTGGTAATTCAGAGTCTGGAGGATGCACTCCAAAAACCCGGTATCCTTGTGGAGTGGGAGAGTGGGTCTCTAGATCCAATTTAAACGGCGGCCTAGAGTAGAGTACAAGGGGTGGGCCCAACGTGGTCCTTTTGCATTCACAATTTGCATATCCCCAGGGCATTTTACTAATATATGCAAATGTCTTTCTCTTCTCGCAGATTTCATTGTCCCAACATTTACCTTGACAATGGCGTCGTGAAGACTTCAAAGTGTCGGTTCATATCGCTGTTTTTTATAAGTGTTTATGTATAACTAAACGTTTATTAATCAAAATTTCTCTTTCATTTTATTAACTGAAAAGAAATTATACGGAGGCAAGCAGAGATACTTTTGATGTTCGAGCTCCAAGAACGTAAAAGCCATATCTTTTCGCCAATGCTCTACTGTGAAAGTACAACTCACAATCAGTTACATATTACTTACTTATTGACTGAGTGGGAAAGCCGACAGGATAATATTTGGCTTGAGGTCATGACCTACGAGCCTCGCTCATTGACTTCTGATGACTTCTTTGTGGCGGGTGGATTATGATTCAAATTGAGTGGCTAGCTATTGAACGGCTTACCAAATCAAATGGCTCACCTTTCAATTTGAAAGGACTTTATCTCTGGTCCGGACTTATTCTCTGGCCGCAATTTTGTTCTGAATATTTATTAGTCACGATAAAGATCCGTTGCTATGTTCTTTTTAAAACTACAGCATTGAAAAGTGAAGTAAAGGCGAGTGTTTTTTCGCTTTCAAAAAGCAAAAGCAGTGCTCGCATGCGTCATAACTAATGAAAAACATTAGAATATGAGAAATGAATAAAGGGGGTAAGTTTCTAAAGAAACTGTGGTGCTGCGTCGGAGGGAGAGTATAGCAGGTAATTTAATGTTAACAACTGAGTTAAAAACGTAAATTGACCACCGTAAAGAGTAAAACTCAGTTGTCAACATTGAATTAACTATTAGAATAGGAGGTCTGATTGGCATAAAGTTGCTTTGTTGCTATGTGAGATTTCACGCTCTATTGGCTCGCTCGGCGTTGTATTCAAGATAACAAGCTACACAGCATCACGAATGTTTATTCACGATCATCTTGTCCTTGAGCGTAAGCGATCCGTCCTTTCGAAAAAAGGTAAAAAGTCTATAATTTTGCGATTAGAGAAAGGAGAAAAAGGAACCAATTTTTCAGCCGGCGGCGTTAGATATCTGATATCCGCAACAACAAGGAAGAGATCACGAAGTTTGCCGACAACCTACAGACCAGGAATGGAGGGTAAATCGCTGCGAGTTGCTCATGATGAACAGCGGACAGTGAAGATTTATACCATATTTTTTTCAAAACGATTTGTAAAGGTTTTGTTTCACGATTACAAACAAACTTGTGACACTAATTTATTTTGTCATTGTTCAATGCCCGAGTGTTGGGACGACATGGTAGAGTGGGAGGGATTTAAGACTGCCTCGGAGGACGAGTGGCTCTGCATTGTCTGCAGATTG